TTCACTTTTCTTAAACAATTCGTCAGTTATTACAAAGTTTGTAAATCGTTTTTGTTTTTTTTATGGAAGAATTTTAATCATTTAGCTTGTTTAGTTAATTTCCTTGAAGTAATTAGTTTTAGTGCCCACCAGTGGCCGAGTGGTCTTCGGACCCTAAACACTGGGAGTTCGGTCGTGGGTTCGCGCCGCGATCGGACAGGCTGGCTGCTTAGAGTTTTCCGGGTTTTCTCCTTGCCGATAACGACTAAATAGGAGGCTAGTTCCCCATAAAAGTCCTCCCGGAAGGCATTAGTTCCCCTCGCGTAACATCGCACCCCAGAGAAGGCAACGGGAAACCACTCTGGGTACTAACTTTCCCTAGTAACGCCTTGGCGTGTTTACTAATTACTTACTAATCTGCACCGGGTGTGGCCGAGGTCGGGAAAACCTGATATGGCACTATGAGAGAGTTTTAGTTTATCATAAATGTTATCAGTATCGTGTTTAAAACAGAAATGGCAATTAATCTTAAGTAAAGTGTAGATAAACGATTAAAGTTCCTTTCCCGTCACAATATAGTGAAATTTAATTTTCTTCTACATTTGCACAAAGTATTGCAATTAACGTTAAATCTCATCAATTGCAAACAATCGATCAACTGTTAAGCTTACTGTTAGCCAGTAAAATAATGTTTAAATGACGTTTTCTGATTAGGACTCACTATGGACAAAGCATGAAAAAAGCAACCTTTCGGGTGTTCTTTCAAAAATCAAAAGCAAATTAAAATTATATTATTTCAAAAACACGATATTAATCTTAGGTAGAAAAAGACTTTCAGCTCAAACTATTCAATGATTTGATTTTTGACAACAGAAATAAATGCAAATAAAATCAAATTTAATGAAAGATAATCTTTACTCGTTTCTTCGAATTCGTATGAAATTATGTCAATGTTTTATTCCGTTTAGTCTAAATTTCAAAGATCTATAATGCCATAAGAAAATATTATGTTCGTTCACTTCAAACTGTAATAAAAATATTACGGAAATATATACATGTATAAATGAAAATGCAAAGCAAAAATAGTCAAAATGTTTATTGTATAAAAGAAATTATACAAGGTTATATTGGGAAAAAGTGCATAATCAAGTAAGTTACTGTGCATTTTTTACTTCTCATTAAATGTAAATTACTTCAAACAAACATTATTTGATATTCTATGAGGAAACACAGAATTTCGAAGAGGAACTATCAAGAAAAAAAATTAAATTATTATTCATTCTAAAACATTTTTTGAAGTTATTCTAATTTTTCATCCCTAAGAGCACTTAAGAGGACCTTTTCATCAACCCCATTATAAGATCGGTCAAATCTAATCCACGGTGGGACAGACGACTAGTGAGGAAAGAAGCCCAATGTACCTGAACAACCCAACTCCCAAAAAATTAAAATTTAGAGCGTTTTTTTGACCTGTTCCGATTCGATCGGGACTTCCCCAGCGCGATAGGCTGACATCTTACGCCTGGCAATATCTATCAGACCAGACATATCTATGCAAAGAAAAGAATTGCTTAAGGCGAGGATTCCTTAAATCCGTTTGCAAGTTCACATATAAATAAAAGTATACAAATTTAAAGTGTACAACGAACTAATCTAACGTAGTGACATTAAATTAGACTGTTATTGTTCATAATAAATGTAAAAAATAAAATTATTAATTATTTCTTAAAAGTCCGCATTCCAAGCTTTGTCTACGACTCGTAATGTTCTTAATCTGGAACTTCCTATAGAGTAATTAAAGCACTCAGATTACATATAAAATAAATTATTTTAAAAGTAATATGTCGGAAAACTTACCATAAAATGACTCTTTTATTTTATGTCGACTTTCGGTTGTGTCGAATCTTCAGACGAGAATAAAACTGATCTTTCAGCTGTTAAAGATTCAATGAAAAACAACTTTATGAATATTAATTTTGAAATTTTTATTAGGCAACAAAGTTTATAGAAGATATCTAAAATAATTTCTCTGTAATCAGGAATTTTCCAGATCACACGGAAATTCTTTCAGTATAAATTTATATTATATTGATAGAATTTTATTGAAAATTATAAATGTGATCGCCGCGGGCAGCTGATAAGTCCATTAAAGACTGTCATTTTGGTTTTTCTTGGAAAATTTTAGGCGAGTCTTGTGTGAAAAGTAAACGATGGAAGTTGGAAAGGAATTTCATGTAAGCCAATTTATGGGTTTGAGAAATCTCACAGGAGCATAAAGTCAAAGTGTGAAAGGTCAAACAGCACCCGCCCGAGTCAGGACTGACACTACCTGTGACATGTGGCTCAAAGAAATCTTTCGATAAACGTGCAAGAGGTCATCCAAAAATGAAAACATTTTAGTAAATGTGTGGATAGCTTGAGGAATATAATGTTAATATTGCGAAAACCTGCAATTTGCATTCTTACTTATGATTTCAGCTTTATTTCTGACTATTGACTTCACTACATTATAAAACATCTCTAATGAATAATTTGAAGCTCATTGCATAATAGTCAGCAATATAATTGACAACAATTTTATTCACTACAGATCGCAATTAATCCATTTCTTGAATATATATATATGTATACAGATATTATGGGATTAATTCCGTATACAGTAGAGCGTCGTTTATCCGAAAGCTGGTTATCCGAAACGTCCGTTATCCGAAAGCATTCCAGTCGGCAAATTTAAATTTTCGCTAGTGCTGTGGCGCTGCAATCTTCGGCTATTTCTCGGGCTACTCAAATATTTTACGTTTTTGATACTAAATTAACATCTGAAGTATAATTTTTTATTGTTTTTATCAATAAATTTATTTTGTTTGTACAAAATAAAAAAATAATTTTTAACGATACAATAGTCTTCGTTAGGCTTAACATCGACGAAAATTCAACGCGAAGCGACACGCAACGGAGA